GCTTGGCATGCCATTCCCTGGGAGCCTGGCGGAGCCCATACACCGGGCGGCGCAGCTGCCAGACAGAGTCAGCGGGGAAGGGGAGGTGGAAGCCCGCGGGGCGCTCCATGTAGATCAGTTCACGTAGTACGCCTTGCAGGAAGGCGTTGGAGACATCCATCGAGTGGATCTCCATGTTGAGGCGAGCGGCGAGGTCGAGGACGGCGCGAACGGTAGCAGGTTTGGCGGTGGGGGAGAAGGTGTCGAAGAAGTCAAAGCCATACCGCTGCGTGAAGCCCTTGGCGCAATACTGGGCCTTGTAGACGGGCGGTTCTCCTGGTAGCTGCTTGACGCGAAACACCCACTTCCCCTTGACCACGTTCGTAGAGGGGGGAGGGCGAGGCACATCAACGAAGGAGGAGTTGGCAATAAACGCCTCGAGCTCCTTGATGATGGCGGCGAGCCAGAGCGGGGCGTCGGGACAAGCCATGGCCTCCTCATACGTGGTTGGGATGAAGGTGAAGGGTGCGGAGGAAAAGGCGAAGACTGGTGTTCCAGAGAGGTCAGAGGTGATGGGAAGGAGGGAGGGGTCAGAGAGGTGGAGGTCAAGGAACTCCTCATGGGAGTCCTCAGAGAGGGAGGTGTGGAAGGCGCGGATGACCGCAGGTGCCGCTGCTGGTGCCACTGTTGGTGCCGCCGCTGCTGGTGCCGCTGCCGAGGCCGCCGCTGCCGCTGCACTCGCCGCTGCTGGTGCCGTTATACTTGCCGCTGCTGGTGCCGCTGCTGGTGCCGCTGCGGTGGCTGCTGCTGGAGCTGCTGCTGCTGCCGCTGCTGGAGAGGTAGTAGAGGGGGCGGGTGCATGAGGGGCTTGATGCAGGACAGCCTGGAAGAAGTGGTGAAGAAGGGGGGAAAGAGGGGGGAGGGTAGAGGTAGAGAGGGTAACAGGGGGCGGTGCACCAAGAATACCGTCGCATGACCTGGTGTGAGGATACCGGGTGAGTGTGGTGCGGGGAGGGGGGGAGGGAGGCGAGGGTTGGGAGGGAGGGGGAGGAGGGGCACCAGGGGAGGAGTGAGCGGGGGAGACAGGGGAAGACAGGGGGTCCGGGTCAAAGATGTCACCAGACGAGGGAGGGGCACCGTGGGACTGGGGGGGCGGTGGGGAAGGGGGTGGGAGGATGGGGGGAGGAGGGAGGAGAGGGGGAGGGGTGGTGTCAGACCAGACAAGGGGACGAGTTAGAGGTGGGAGTGGGTCATTGGACGGAGGAGAGGAATAGTATGGGGTGGATTCGTCAAAGACGACATCCCTGCTGCGAATTAGTCGACCGGAGGGGGGGTGGAGGAAAAGATAGTCGGGGGAAGAGGGGTTATGACCAAGGAAGATGCAGGGAAGGGTACGAGGGGCAAGTTTTCCTAGGGAACGGGATCGGTCAGATGGGTGAATGAGGACATATGCCTTTGAGCCCCAGACCCGAAGAGGGGAGACATCGGGTTTGTCCTTTGTCCATAGCTCAGTGGGGGTGGTGGAGGGGAGGAGGGGGTGAGGGTAAAGGTTAGTAAGGAGGGCGGCATGAAGGAGGGCGTAGCCCCACAGAGAAGGGGGGCAGGAGGCGTGGACAAGGAGACACCGAGCCGTTTTGGTGATCTCCCGAACACGGCTCTCAGCAACACCGTTCTGCTGTGGGGAGTGAGGGAGGGTGTAAGTCTGAAGAATGCCGCGGGACTGGCAATAGGAGGAGATCTGGTTGTTAAGGAACTCACCACCACCATCAGAGTGGAGGCGGCGAACAGGGCGCCCAAAGTGGGTGTTTGCCTGTTCGAGCCAGGCAATGATCGCAGTCGGGGCGTCCGCCTTCGTCCGAAGGAGAGAGACGGACGAGTACCGACTGTGATCATCGACGAGCACGAGGAGGTAGCGATGGCCTTGGCGAGTGGGGGAGGGGTTAGGGCCCCAGAGGTCCATGTGAACAAGATCAAGTGGCTGGGCTGCAGCGGAGGGGGAGCTCCGGTGCGGCTGCTGCTTGAGCTTGCTCTGAACACAGACGACGCAAGGGGGGGCAGGGGACTTTGGGAGGGGAGGGAGGGAGGAGGGGAGACCGTGGAGGAGACCGGAGGATGCAGAGGAGCGCAGAGTGGCGAAGTTGGGGTGACCTAGCCTGTGATGGAGGAGGATAGCAGGGTGGGAGAGGGAGCGACATGAGCAGTCAGAGTCAGGGGGGCGGGGGGGGACGGGTGGGTTAGTGGGAGGGAGGGGAGGAGGGGGAGGGAGGAGGGGGGGGGAGGCAACTTGGAAGGTGAAGGGGCGAGGAACCCGAAGGGTGTATAGACGGGAGCGGTGACAGTAGGGAATGCGGGCGAGGAAGCGACCTGTGGAGGTTTGGAAAAGGTCACAATGGTTAGCACCTCCTGGGGTGACAGTGGTGATCATGGATTGTTGGAGGGACCTTTGGGAAAGGAGGTTAGTGCGAAGGGAGGGAATGTGAAGACCTGTGACGGTACCTGAGGGAAAGAGAGGACAGGGAAGGGTGGACGTGTTGTGACAGGGGATGGAAAAGCTGCTGTCAGCGCCGAGGAGGGACGTGGGTGTGGGGAGAGGATGGAGTTTGCCAGCATCGCGAAAGACATTGTCAGTGGCTCCACTATCCAGGACGAACTCAAGGGTGGAGGAGGGTGAGGCGGAGTACTGAATGGAAGTTTCATTAGTAGCAGGGGCATACATAGGGGATGCAACAGAGGGAGGCTGACTAAGCAGACCAACAAAGCCAGAGGAGGGAAAGGGGGTCACACTACCACCTGTGGACGGCGCAGGGGAGGGACCGAAGAGGTGGGCCGCAGAGGCTGCATTCCCAGCGGTCCAGCCGGGAAACGGTTGCTGCTGGGGGACAGGAGGAGGAGGGAGGAGAGGAAGCTGGGGCTGGAGGTCAAGCTGCTGCTGGAGCTGCTGAAGCTGCTGCTGGAGCTGCTGAAGCTGCTGCCCGTACTGCTGCGGTCCCTGCTGTTGTACACTCTGCTGCTGCTGCTGCTGCTGCTGCTGCTGCTGATGCTGCTGCTGCTGCTGCTGCTGCTGCTGAGAGGGGAGAGCAAAGGCTTGGTGGGCCTGGGAGGAGGAGGAAGGAGCGTAGAGGGGAGAGGTGCGAACGTCGAGGGGAGTGGGGCGGGGATTAAGGGCGGACCAGCGAGGAGGGGTGCCAGAGTTCCCACGAGCGAACCACTCATCGCTGAGTGCCTTAAGCACGTCTCAGTTGCATGAGTGGTTTGGTTGCAGCGTTGGCCTCGGGTGGGGCCATAAAGGGGAAGATACTGACAGGGTGGGAAGGCCGCTGCTGCACCACGACCCGCACCACCACGACCGCTAGAGCCGCCTCGACCACCTCCACGCCCACCTCCACGCCCCCCTCCACGTCCGCCTTTGCCGCTGCGCTGCTGTGCTACCGCGGCAGTGGAGGAGGAGTGGCGAAGGATTTCTGCCTCGGTGGTGATAATCCACTGGGCAACTTGAGCGGGAGTGTCATGTTTGGAGAGGAGTTGCATATAGGCCAGCTTGTGGGCATCGAAGGCAGGAGTGAGGCCTTCGAGGAGGTGGCAGCAGATGACGGTGTCAGGGTAGGTAACACCAAGTGCTGCAAGACGGCGAGCAAGGTCAAGGACGCGGCGAGTAAAGGCGGCTGCGCCGGCAGTGGAATCCATGGTGATGGATCCAAAGTCCTTGATGAGGGCATAGAGGGTGGCGATGTCCTGCCGGTCAAAGAGGTCGACAAGCAGTTGCCACAGGTGGGAGGAGGAGGTGGGTGAGAGTTCTCGCTTGAGGGAGGAGGGGATAGTGGCGAGGAGGATGGCGAGAGCTCGGCGGTCAGCAATGCGCCACGCAGCGATGTCGGAGGTGTAGCTAGCGAGGCGTGTAGTGTACGTGGTGAGTTGGGCGTGGTAGTCGCGGTGACGGGCAGCAGCCTCGTCGTAGGCGCGCTTGTCGTCCTCATAGCGCAGTTGACGGCGAAGGTGGTCGTTGAGTGTGTTGCGGTAGGCACGGATGGCAGTTTCCACGCTTTGAGGATTGTTGACATCCGGTGCGAAGGAGGGAGGATCACCAGGGGACTCGGGCTCAGGTCCGGGCTCATCAGGAGGAGGTCCGGTGGGGGCAGAAGGGGCGATGGGCTGGAGTCCGCCTTCCTCCTGGAACACGACGGAGCGGAGTGTATAACCACTGACGATGACCGAGGAGAGCAACACCTCGACGGAGTGGGCATAGGAGTGCCAGTTGGCGGCCGAGTTGTCGCCGAGCAGCTCGAGGGCGTCAATGGTCGCTAGATCGACCGAGGAGTCGGATGACGCCATGACGACGGAGGGGTGAAGGCGCCGCTGCTGCTGTTGGTATTGATGCCGCCGCTGCTGCTGCCGCCGCCGATGCCGCTGCTGCTGCCGCCGCCGATGCCGCTGCTGCTGCGCCGCCGATGCCGCTGCTGCTGCCGCCGCCGATGCCGCTGCTGCTGCCGCCGCCGATGCCGCTGCTGCTGCCGCCGCCGATGCCGCTGCTGCTGCCGCCGCCGATGCCGCTGCTGCTGCCGCCGCCGATGCCGCTGCTGCTGCCGCCGCCGATGCCGCTGCTGCTGCCGCCGCCGATGCCGCTGCTGCTGCCGCCGCCGATGCCGCTGCTGCTGCCGCCGCCGATGCCGCTGCTGCTGCCGCCGCCGATGCCGCTGCTGCTGCCGCCGCCGATGCCGCTGCTGCTGCCGCCGCCGATGCCGCTGCTGCTGCCGCCGCCGATGCCGCTGCTGCCGCCGCCGCCGATGCCGCTGCTGCCGCCGCCGCCGATGCCGCTGCTGCTGCCGCCGCCGATGCCGCTGCTGCTGCCGCCGCCGATGCCGCTGCTGCTGCCGCCGCCGATGCCGCTGCTGCTGCTGCTGGTGCCGTTAGGGGTGGAGGTAGAGGGGAAGAGAGGCTGGTGCGGAAGTGCGGGGAGGAATTAGGGTTTCGAGGTCGTGGAGATCGCGGGCAGGCGAACGCGACGGAGGGCAGATCAGCCGCGGCTACGCGCCAGCCGTCCACGTCGGCGCAGGGGCGTCGACGGCCGCGCGCTGGCCGTCCGCGGTGGCGCGCGGGTCTTTCGTGGCCGCGCGCTGGCTGTCCGCGTCAGCACGCGGCTCGTCGGTGGGGCCGCGCTGGCAGTCCGCGTCAGCACGCGGGTCGTCGGCGGGGCCGCGCTGGCCGTCCGCGTCAGCGCGTGGGTCGTCGGCGGGGCCGCGCTGGCCGTCCGCGTCAGCGCGCGGGTCGTCGGCGGGGCCGCGCTGGCCGTCCGCGTCAGCGCGCGGGTCGTCGGCGGGGCCGCGTTGGCCGTCCGCGTCAGCGCGCGGGCCGTCGGCGAGGCCGCGCTGGCCGTCCGCGGCAGCGCGCTGGTCGTCGGGGGTCGCGCGCTGGCCGTCCGCGGCGGTCGCAGGTCGTCCGCTTCGCCGCGCTGGTCGTCCGCGTCGGCGCGGAGGTCGGACGCGTCGGCGGGCAGTTGGAGGCGTGGCGGCGGGAGGAGGGATTGCTGCCACGGGGGAGCGGATAGGGGCTGCGGGAGGGAGGATAGAGGCCGCGGGAGGGAGGATTGAGGCCGCGGAGGAGGAGATCTACGCCGCGGAACGCTAGATCTGAGGTGCGGGATGCGGAACTGAGCCGCGGGAGGCGGAACTGAGCCGCGGGAGGCTAGATCTGAGGAGCGGGTGGGCGGATGTAGGTCACAGTCCGCTAGGGTAAGGGAGCGGGGAGGGAAGTACAACATGAGGATCGAGGGAAGGTGGCGTGAGCCATTTGGCTCTGAATACCATGATAGAATTCAAGAGTAGTTGAATGATGAGCCATTGAGGCTCTATAGTACAAGCATGCAAGCAAGAGAGGGGTGAAGAAGGAGCAAACCCTAGTGGCCACTAAGTTGGCCAATGGGGGAGATGCCTTGTGGAGTAGGTAACCCCACAATGTTGCTAGGTTGTGATTGGTAGGCCTTAGGACCAAAAGTTGGCAAGTGCCAACCAAGGACCAAGACCAAACCCAACCTTAACCAACCACAAAATGTGGTTGGAGTGTACACCCAACCCCCCAAGAACATAAAGAGCTACACCATTCTAGCCTATGTATGTTGTGTATAAGATACAGTTACAACATGTTCCTCTCCTCTCCACTGCTCGTCTCCTGCTGCAGCGGCCAACGCAGTCAAGCGAACCTGCCAGAGAAGCGAGGCGAGAGTCAGTGAGTGCAGAACAACAGCCAACGATTCATGCTAGAGAAAAACGAAGTGCTGTGAGAAACAAAAGGTGCGCACATCACAGCACCACAGGAGCCAAAAAAAACACCTCAGGGGCACCTGAACCTTTACCTGAACCTGAACCTTGACCTTACCCAGGGGGGGGCTCATGTGGACCGTGGAGGGCTGGGGTGATACTTGCAACCTTCCATGTGCTCGAAGGTACGCCACTTTCTGCTCCTATGCTCCTTTTCTCCTCTCCTCCTCCGCTCCTCTTCTCCTCCGTTCCTCTTCTCCTCCGCTCCTCTCCTCCGCTCCTCTTCTCCTCCGCTCCTCTTCTCCTCCGTTCCTCTTCTCCTCCGCTCCTCTTCTCCTCCGTTCCTCTTCTCCTCTGCTCCTCTTCTCCGCTGCTGGCGCCCACACCACCAGCTTTGTAAGCATAACGGCCTTGGCGTTGTATTGGTCAAAAGAACCTGCTGGCAACACCAAGAGGGAGTCACTGAGCGCATGGCAGACGGAAGCAAAAGATGCTGCAGCATGCTGGAAAAGGGCAGGAAAATGTGCGAACGGGATATGCACCGACCACAGCACCACAGGAGCTCAGAGAAAACACCTGAAGGGGCACCTGAACCTCAACCTCGACCAAGGGGGGGGGAGCTCTTGTGGACCGTGGAGGGCTGGGGTGATACTTGCAACATTCCATGGCGTCGAGGCTGCTCCTCCTCTGCTCCTCTTCTCGTCCGCTGTTGTGCTGTTAAAGCCAAAACCACCTGCCTCGTGAGCAGAAGCACCTTGGTGTTGAGATGCTCGCTCGAACCTGCCAGGGAAGCGAGGAGAGAAGTCAGTGAGTACATGGCAGCAGGCAACAATCCAACGGAAAGAAGATGCGAATGAAGGATATACGCACGACCACAGCACCACACGAGCCAGGATTAAAAAAAAAAACCTGAAGGGGCACCTGAGCCTTGACCTTTACCAGGGGGGGGCTCATGTGGAGTGTGGGGGACGCAGATGATACTTTCAACCTTCCATAAGTTCGAGGCAGCTCCTTTGCTCCTCTGCAGCTTGCGCCCACGCCGCCAGCCTTGTGAGCAGAAGGGCCTTGGCGTTCCAGCGGTCATTCAAACCTGCCAGGGAAGCGAGGAGAGAAGTCAGTGAGTACATGGCGGCAGGCAACAATACAACGGAAAGAAGATGCGAATGAAGGACAGATGCACGACCACAGCACCACACGAGCCAGCCAGGTAGAAATAAAAACACCTGAAGGGGCACCTGAACCTGATCCGAACCTCAACCTCGACCAGGGGGGTGGCTCATGTGGAGAGTGGCGGCAGGAGATGATAGATACTTGAACCTTCACCCTTCATCACTTCCATGAGCCTCAGTCGTCTGGACGCTGCTCCAACCTCCCCCCTTGCAATCCGTCGCCTGGCGCTGCGCCCCTGCCGTGGTGCGCGCCCGCCTGCGCATTTTCAAACGCCATGAGCAGGCCTGGGAGCGTAGGGAGGGCGGGAGACGGGAGGGACAACAGGCCAGAGGGGAGAGAGGGTATGTGTCGGAGACCAGCAGAAGCAGGAACGCGGCAGTGAGGGTTGAAGATATAGTAAACAAACGAAGCTGCAGAAATTTACGAAAACAAAGGGAAAAGGCAGAAGTTTGAGAAGGTATTGTAAACGCACCTCAGAACGCATTCGCGGATTGCGGACTCAAAAGATACGCGGATGGGGATTTGGCGAACAGCGACGCGAACAGAGAACCTCCCGAGGTCAACAACCAGGAATCGCAGAGCGGGACCCAGTCTTGCGACCCATCTCTTGCAGCCGGTCAACTTAAATCTCTGCACGTCAAGGAAAAAGCATGTCGTCGTGAGTCCGTTTTGCGCGAATAGGAGGAACATTTGCGGCTACGAAAATTTCACGCCAAAGCGATCGCACATGAACTCCTGCTGGTGCTTTTACCTGTGGATGAAAATGTCGAAACGCTGGCGCGGTTGGCTCGCGAGGTGAGGCAGATCGCGTGCGGAAAGAAATCAAACGAACCAACCACGCCTCAGGACGAACGAGCCGGTGGTGCGGTGGTAATAACGAGCTGAAATTCGAATGACTGGGAGAAGGCGAGGAGCGTGCAGCGAGCTAGCTAATGTGCAGCAGATTTGGTGAATCGAACGGAGAATCGCGAAATGAGGGTGCTGAGAGGCACGAGGCCACGGATTGGGTTGGGGTACGCTGGTGATCCGTGGGGGACTGAACGTCATGTGTGGCTCAACGTTCATGCCGCCTAAATTTCGAACTAAACATTCGACGGTTCAAAATCGCCTTGCTGGCACCTACGGTGGTCCCACATGTGACAGCGTGGACCTTTATCCAATCAATCCGGTCAAGGAGAAGATAGTTTCAGCTGCGTGCTCAACCAGTCCTTCGGAATCTAATTTTCGCTTTCTCAAAAATTTCCTTGGGGGTTCTTAGTTTGCCTACGTGGGCTTTTTCAATGATCACGGACCCACAGTCCCACGTGACGAAAGCAGCTTTGATAGCAAAAGTCACACTGGCTGACCGAGCATGACGTGTACTTCTAGTAGCACCGTAAACGAGATATCAGGTAGCATGTGGGATCCACTTTCCGCCTTGAAAAATGCGGCGGAATGATCCAGCTGCCTCCAAACAGTGGGCGGGAAACTAGTGCTTCGGCGTTTGTGACTGACAGCGCAAGTCGAATTCGAAAACGTGAGAAATGTATGTGGGGCGAAACAGAAGCTGGTTGGGGATTGTGATTTTCACGACATTAATGCAAAACGTACTAGGTTGTAGTTTAATTGTGGAATGCTTTCACAAGATTCACAGGTTGGCAGGTACATCTATCTTAAACACCACCTAACTCCAAATGCCACTTCACACGCCATCACCGAAACAGCTTCACCCTTCGAACCCGCCATCAAATCAACTGCTGAAATGCAACTACACCGCATGCTACAGCAACCTACAGTGCATGCTACAGCCAGAGTCCGCGTCACATGCTACATCCCAGCCCCAACCTACAGCGCATGCCCATCAATGTAGCTCTTAAGTGCGCTGCTCCTCCCCGGCTGCCTCAGCTTCAGTAGCGCCTTGCCCTCAATCTGCCGCACCCGCTCCCTTGTAACGCGGAACAGCGACCCCAGCTCCTCCAGGGTCTTCACGCGCCCGTCGTCCAGCCCGTACCGGTGCCACATCACCTCCCTCTCGCGCGGCGTCAGCGTGTGCAGCGCGTTCTCGAGGTCCTTGCGCATCAGCTGCTGCATGATCATGTCCTCAGGGTTCTCCAGAGTCGTGTCGGCAACAAACGCCTGGGGAGGATGGGGGGGAGGCATAAGAGAAACGAAGGTGCATTTACTTAGTAACTTCTTGCGCATCAGCTGGTGCATGATCATGTCCTCTGGGTCCTCCAGGATCGTGTCTGCCACAAACGCCTGAGGATGGATGGGAAGGGACTGCAACATAGGGAGTGGATAGGGCGGTAGGCAGGGTCCTTGCGTACCAGCTGCTGCATCATGCTGTCAACAGCATTCTCTCGGGTGCTTCCCACATAGATCGGATGGGTAGTGCAGAGGGCAACTTGAGTTGCACCCTACACCTTGTGATTAGGGGATACCAACCTTCATCCTATCTGGACTTCACAATGCCAACTTGACCCCTGTCATGAAAACTTCCCCATCCCTGCATAAGCTCACCCCGAGCATCTTGTCCCCGTCGTCTGAGGCGATAGGGTGGTCCGTGGAGGTGGGCGCGCACACGGTGCGCATGATGCTGCGCAGCTTGCAGTGCGTGCTCTTCCCCTTTCCCCAACAGGGCAATAGCGGCCTGACTGACTCCAATCCTCCCCTTACTCACCCCGAGGGTCTCGTCCCCGTCGTCCGAGGCAATAGGGCGGTCCATGGAGGTGGGCGCGCGCACGGTGCGCATGATGCTGCGCAGCTTGCCCCGCGTGATGCCCACAAGCTGCGCCACCTCCCGCTCCGCCGGCGCGCGACCCAGCGCGTCCGTCAGCATGGCCTTGGCGCGGTTGATGCGCGACACCAGCTCGTATATGTGGGCCTGGGGGGGGACAGGGGTAAAAGCGGGGAGGAGTGGGGAAAGGGGGGGAAGGGGGCAGAGAGGGGTGGGGTTGTGGGTGATAGATATAGTCAGCCAATACTGCACACCCAATACTATCATCCGCGGTAATATCACACCCATTTTACACCACCACACCGTTACTGTCACACGCATTGCGAAACACTCACCGGCAGTCGCACGATGCGGCTCTGCTCCGCGACGGAGCGGCTGATCGCCTGGCGGATCCACCAATGCGCGTACGTGCTGAACTTAAAGCCCTTGCTGTGGTCGAATTTCTCCACCCCCTTCATAAGACCCATGCACCCCTCCGTTATAAGCTCCTCCAGCGACAACCCGCGCGTCGTGTATTTCTTCGCAACGGAAATCACAAGTCGCATGTTCGAGGCGATCATGCGCTGCTTGCACTCCTTCCCCCACGCCACCCGCGCCTGCACCTCCGCGACGGACAGCCCCGCCTCCTGCGCCCACTCCGCGCGGGTCGGCGCGCGGAGCAGCTTTTCCTCTAGCGCCTCCCGCATGCGCTCCAGCTTCAGCAGCACCTGAACGCCCTTGGAGAGATCGATTTCCTCCTGGACTGACAACAGCCGAGGGTTACCACCCGCAGTGTCGAACATCGCGAAAACCGATTCATTCGCCGCCCGCCTGTACCCCTCCGCCACGACCGCATCTTCCGCCTCCGACTCCTCCTCCCCCAGCGCGAGCGCCGGCCCTTCCGCCGCCGGCTTCCTTCTCCCCGCGGGAGCCGCCGCGGTGGCGGCGGCGGCGGCGGCTGACGCGGCCTGGCGCTGCTGCAGGGACTTTTCGCGCTCCGCGAGGCGCTTGCCCTTCTTCTGCGAGCGCACCACCACGCGCTTCGGCTTCCGCTCTGCTTCCCCCTCCCGGTCCGCCTTCCGCTCGGCTTCCCGCGCGCCGTCTTCCAGTGCGCGCTCTAGCCCGTGGTACGCGGCGTCTTCCGCCCACATGACAATCTCCGCAGGGTGCGCATCCTCCCCGCTCACATCCCCCCCGCCAACTGCTTGCGCCAAACTGCCTTCCTCCGCCTTCCCTTCCCCTGGCGCCCCGCCTGCCCGTCGCGCCGCCCTCCTTTCGCGAATCGGCTTCGCGGTGCGTTTGACGGCGTGCGGCTGATCGTTAAGACTTGCCCTTGGCGACCTACCCTGGGCCGTCCGATCTACCGCAGATAAGATACGGTCATCCGGGTGCGGAGGTTCCTGGGGAAGATAGTCATGTGGAAGCCGGGCGTACGGCTGGGTTGAGAACGGTTGGAAGGGGGAAGGTTCGACCGGGGACGGCTGGACTGGGGCAGGCGGTGAGGGAGAGGGAGAAGCGGAGGCTGAAGGTAAGGGGAGTTCTGAGCTTAGACTGTCTTCCGCGCCGCGATACGACTCTAAATGCGTGACCTTATCGACGGCTAAGAGCCACATATGATGCAGCTGATCACTGTTCATAATCTCGTCGGCTCCCTCCTCCTCTACCTCCCCCCAGCCTAATAACGGCGAACTTAACGAGCTCTCCTGTGGTAACCCGTATTCGTCGTCACCGTCGTCGTCATAAAGGCCCATCGCCTCCTCCGATAACGACAGCTCCGCGGCTTCCTTCGCAACGGCTAGCGCTGCGCGCGCGAGCGCAAGGGCTTCCGCCGCTGCTGCTCGAGTAGTCGCGGCGGTGAAGAGGTCGTCCGCCAGTTCAGTGGCGCAGGCGGAAGAGGGGGAGGCGGAAGACGCAGAGAAGCGCGCCGAAGAACCGACGGCTGAGCCATTCACGTGGCTGCGTGATCCGATGAGCGAGGGCGACGGGGGGAGGGCGGGGAAGGGGTAGCGGAGAGAAACCGAGGTGGGAAGGAATTCACGAGGGGAGAGTGAAGGGATGGACAACGGGGACGCACAAGCGAATGCACGAAGGGATGCACGGGAATTAGATATTGGAGAAACGTTGTACCGTCACAACAAGCGTACAAACGACAACCCAGCTACGCAGTGGAACAGTGCTACGTGGAACAGAAATCCGTCGCCTTTTTTCCAACGATGCGAGTGAACAGTTCAGAAAGATTTGCCTATCCGGGGAAGGAAATCATGTGAAACCGCTTACTGTTGCGATGAGCTCGCGAGACCGGAATGCAGGGTGATGCGCGGCGACGGCGCGGATACCGTCGCGGGATGCGCGGAGCTCGCTGCGAGCGGCGAACCCGCGGACGACGCGGAGTTGGCGGAAGGCGAGGGGACCTGCGCAACGGGCGATGCTCGTCGGAGAGGGGTTGCTGACGTGGACGAGCTCAAACACGGGCTTGATCCTGTACCAGCGATGGGGTAAAGACGCCGGGAGAGTGCATAGACACGTGGAGAGTGCATAGTCAGATATTAAGGGATTCTCGGTCTACTGATGAGAGACGACGTTGCGTTAGGTGAGAAAAACTCCTGCTTTAGTTCAAGCTACTAAAACCCTGCACTCTCCAATACCTGGTCTGTCGACAGTCACGCGTTCCAAAAGGAACTTGCGCTGGAAGGCAGTAGCGGAGACGGCCATTTGGCAGAATCCAGATCCGGCAGGTCCGGACACGGAGCTCCTGTACTTAGGAGTTCAATAAAATATGCCAAAATGGTGCTGCTGGCTGACAATAGAAAAACCCTGCTTGATGCCAGAAACTCAAGCAGAGCTCAAGGAAAGCAGAGAGGAGAGGAGAGAGGAGGGAGGGAGAGCAGCTGCTTGAGCAACCTGCAAAAGAGAAATCTCAAATCAAGGAGTGGATTTATTACTCCCTCAAGAATTCCTGACGAGCGGCACTAAAACGAGGGTGGACAATTGCGTCTGGATGAAGTGCAGGCACAACCCGCTCGACACCGAACATTTGTGACTGTAGCGCAATACAGCGAAATCTGTTTGGGTTTGCCTGTCGCACAGTTTTTTCGCCAAGCTTCGTTCCTTCTGAACAGTGATCAGGCCAGGAGCCTTGAATCATCCAATAGCTGCATCGTGGCACGCCCGCATTCATTAACGATGCAGACTGTCGATGCATCTTCGCCGTTCGAGAAGGATCCAACGGCAAGCAGCAAGACTTTGCTGTCCACGTCGATAGCTTCCAGAGCGGTCCACGACTTGGCCTATCCGCACGCGCTTCAGTTTCGTCGCGCTGGAATTGCGTGGAATGACGTGGAGCTAACACCTCCTGGACAAGCGTGGCGATAGAGGGGTAGACCCTGGTTTGGCGCACGGGCTGACGGTATCCTGACGTCAGGCCCTGTAACACTAAGTAATATCTCAACTATTGATATATGTTATGAATCGAATCAGAGTAGTAGCGCGGAATTCAATAACAGGGCGTGACTCAAGAGTGCGAATGCAAATGAAAGGCTACAGCACTTTATAGGCACAACTACGCTAGCCGAGAACCTCGCAACTAGGTTGGGGCGACTCGGGTGACGAAAGCCACGGAACAGCCCCGCATTTAGGTTTGGTTGCGCTAGAGTGGTTCGGGACCGAAAAGTTAGGCCGAGCCTAGCCTTCCGAAGTCCGAGGGCGTACGCGCTGTGGCTGAGCTCAGTAAGGAAAAGGATTTTCCTTACACCACCCCCCCCCTCCCGAGATGAGACTACCCACATCTGGGACATGTCGTCGGCGTAAATAGTCCCGAACTGCCGGGTGTGAGCCGAGAGTATCGGCCGAGATCCAGAGGTCGTCTTCACTCGTGCGATCGACCCATCGGACCAGGAAATCGACGGCTGCTGAAGCTCGTTGTCCCCGGACCCTGTGAGCCAGAATTTTATCCGGTTCGGTGGTGGGTTCAGGAACCGGGCGAACCGTTGGATACAGGCGTTGACGGTCGAGATCGCTCGTGTTGGAGACGAACGGTCGCAGGAGACTGACGTGGAAGGAGTCGTGTACTCGCCAGTCGTCCGGGAGTAGCAGCTGGGCGGTGACGGGTGTCACCATTCGGATAATGCGGAAGGGTCCGCAAAATCTTGGGCGTAGTTTATTTGGGAGGGGCACCCCCAAATTTCTGGTGTCGAGCAGGACTAATTGCCCTGGTGCGAGGGGAAGGTCCCGTCGTCTTCGGTCAGCATTCCGCTTAGCGATCTGGTTGGCTTTGTTGATGGCGTCGGCGGCGTTTTGCTGATGCGTACGTAAAGTCTCGACGAAGCGCTGCGACCTTGGCGCCGGATTTTCGATCGGTGGCGACAGCGGGGTCACAGGGTCTAGCCCGTAATTCAAGAAGAAGGGTGACTGGTTGGTCGTCGCCGAAGGGGCATTATTATACGCGAACTCAATCAAGGGAAGAGATTCTTCCCACTGTGTCGGGTCGGTGCACGTGGTGCGTATCAGCTGCTCCATTGTCTGATTTGTCCGCTCGGTCTGACCGTCCGATTGGGGATGGTAGGCCGTCGATAGGTGCAGGCGCGTGCCGTACTGGTCCCACGTTTTTGTCCAGAAGTTGGACGTGAAGCGCGGGTCTCGGTCGCTGATGATCGCCGATGGGATGCCGTGGAGACGGACGACAGTCGCCAGGAATAATTTGGCAGTTTCTTCGGCCGTAATCGTCGTCTTGCATGCGGCGAAGTGAGCCATCTTGGTCAGGCGATCGACGACGACGAGAATCGCGTCGTTACCACTGGGGCCGGCCGGTAATCCTGTGACGAAATCCATCGTCACTTGTTGCCAGGGTCTGGTAGGTGGCGCGAGCGGTTGCAGCAATCCAGCTGGCCGGAGGCGGGAGGACTTCATCAGCTGACACGTGGCGCACGAGGTGACATACCGCTGCACGTCGTGGGTTAACTCCGGCCAGTAATAATGACGACCCAGAGTTTTTGCAGTTTTGTCGACCCCGTAGTGACCCGAGAGGTTTGAGTCGTGGGCTTCCTGTATCAATAGTTCCCGCAGTAGCCGATAAGCAGGGACCCAAATCCGATTGGTACCGGATTTTAGATAATACGGCCCTTGCTTAGTGACGAGTGGGCTGTTGGTGCTGGTGGTGAAAAACAGATCAGTGTCGTAGCTGTGGGTGAATAGGCCAGTTAATAGTGGGTTGGTCTGGGTAATCAGTACAGCGGCTGTGTGGGCGGATGGGCGGGTCAGGGCGTCGGCGATGTTATTTGCCCCCCGTTTGTAGGTGACTCTGTAGTGAAAGTTGGACTCGAGGTAGTCGAGCCAACGGGTCTATCGTGGGTTCAGTGTCGGTTGTGCACGAATGAACTGTAGTGACTTGTGGTCTGTTCGTACTGTTACGTCGGCCCCGGTTAGATAGCAGCGCCAGATCTTGAACGCGTGGACGATCGCCAGTAACTCCTTGTCATCAACCGGATAATTTCGCTCGACCGGGTTCAGCTTGCGGGATTCGTAGGCGATGGGCTGGAGTCCGTCGCCGAAGTCTTGTAACAGCACCGCGCCGACAGCAATGTCGCTGGCGTCGGTGACGAGCTCGAACGGACGGTGAGGATCAGCTATCCGAAGAACCGGCGGGGTCGTCAGAAAAAGTTTGAGTGCGTCGAACGCAGCCTGCTGCTCTCCCCCCCATTAAAAAAACGCGCCGTTCTTCAACAGGTCCGTGAGCGGGGAAGTTACCCCCGCCATGTTCGGAATGAATCGGCGGACGTAATTCACGAACCCCAAAAAACTTTGGAGTTCCCGCAAATTAGACGGCGGCTTCCATTCTTGAATGGTGCTGATCTTCTTGGGGTCGATTTTAACGCCGTCGACTGAGATGATGTGGCCGAGAAACTCCAGTTCTGGTTTTAAAAACTCGCACTTAGATCCCTTGGTGATGAGGCGATTCTGCTGCAGCAGTGTGAAGACTTGATCGAGGTCTGTTAAGTGCTGCTCCCGGGTGGTGGAATAGACGAGAATATCGTCTAAGTATACTATGACGCATTTGTCCAATAGCGGCCGAAAAATCTCGTTCATGGTCAGCTGGAAGGTCGAGGGCGCGTTTGTCAGACCGAAGGGCATGACTGTGTACTCGTAACTCCCGTACCGGGTACGAAACGCGGTCTTGTAGCAATCTGCTTCGTCGACGCGAATCTGGTGGTAACCCCCTCGCAAGTCGATTTTCGAGAAGAATTTTGCCCCACGAAGCTGGTCGATGAGTTCGTCGGCGCGTGGTATCGGGTATCGGGATTTAAGGGTAACCCGATTTAGCGCCCTGTAGTCGATGCACATGCGAAGACCCCCGTCTTTCTTCGGCGTGAACAGGATTGGGGCGGCGAACGGAGACGTGCTGGGCCGGACGAAGCCTTTCTCCAACAGGTAGTCAAGTTGTCGTCGTAGTTCCTCCAGCTCAGGTTGCGTCAGCCGCCACTGTGTCCGCACGGTTGGCTGCGCGCCGGGCTCGAGTTGGATCTTGTGGTCTTGCGAGCGTTTGGGTGGCAGGCCGGCGGGCAGGTCATCTGGAAATATTGTTGGGTATTTCCGAATGAGTTTCGCCAGGTCTTCGGGTACACCAGCGCACAACTTTTCGATGTCGGGGGTATTGTCGACGGCCGTTGATGCGATCCATCGGATGGTGTAGAGTTGTGCGCCCCGAATCATGGCGCGCTTGATCGTCACGGCGCTGACCGTTGATGTAGTCACTTCACGTCCACTCCACCGGGGTAGTCGTCGCCACTCGCCGCCCCACTTGATGCGACAGTCGCCCGTACGCCAATCGATGCTCGGGTTGTACTCTCGCAGCCAATCGCGCCCCAGCAGCATGTCGCAGCCATCCAGAGTCGTCGCCAGCATCTTCGTTGTGAAGCTAAAACGCTCGCCGCATGTGACTCGAACGTGTGGCACCCGTTCTCGAATCGCCAGTGGTGTACCTTCGACCAATCGCGCGTCGATCTCCGGCATGCACCGCTCCAACTGTAATCGCAGCTTCTTCGCTTTTGTCACATCCATCAAACTGTGGCTCGCTCCACCGTCAACAAATATTTTTATTTTGTTATCCCCAACTCTCCCTTCTACCAGCACAGGGTGATCAACAGGTTCACCCCCCTTATTCAGCCAGGAGTGGTCGACTGCATCAATCGGCACTATTACCTGGTGGGGGTGGTGGTGTTTGGGCGACGCAGTCAAGTCAGCAGGTGGCCCATCAGCTACTGACCTTTTCCATTTCCCGACTGCTTCCCGTCGTTAGCTAAGTCCTTCTTAAGCGCCGGGCAGTCCCGCACCATGTGGCCCGGCTGGTTGCAGTTGAAACAGCGACCGGTAAATACCCGGGCTGCCATCACGTCCACGCCGTTGATGGAAGGGTGTTGGTGCTGGCCTCGAAAACGATTTCCCTCCCGGAAACTCGTCCTCGCGAATGCCCGCCGTGCGTCCAGCGCATCTGCCAACTCGACGAGCTCCGAGAAATTCGCTGGGCGTCGCACTTCAACTTCCAGCTGTATTTCCGGCTTCAATCCCGCCACGTAGCGATCCATCTTCTCGTCTTCGTTCATGCCGTCGATCTGGTCGCAGAGCGCTAGGAGCGACGCGGTGTATTCTTGAACAGCTCCCAACTGACGCCATTCCCGAAGCCTCGCACGAGCGTGTTTGCGCGCGGATATGTGCTCAAA